GTGGAGTGGGGAGGAGGAGGAGGAGGAGGAAGAGGACTGTGGGGTCCTTGGTGCTCTCTGGGCTTGGTGCATTTTTTGCAGACGTTTCATTGCCCAACTAGCTAACATCATCAGTGCTAGAAGGGATGAGGTTTGTGGAGTGGGGAGGAGGAGGAGGAAGAGGACTGTGGGGTCCTTGGTACTCTCTGGGCTTGGTGCATTTCTTGCAGACGTTTCATTGCCCAACTAGGTAACATCATCAGTGCTAGAAGGGATGAGGTTTGTGGAGTGGGGAGGAGGAGGAGGAGGAGGGGGGGGGACTGTGAGGTCCTTGGTGCTCTCTGGGCTTGGTGCATTTCTTGCAGACATTTCATTGCCCAACTAGGTAACATCCTCAGTGCTGGTTCTGAGCCGATGGAGCTTCACGCCTGAGCGGAGGGTGCTTCCCCTCACCCGCGAAGCTCCACTCACACTCCACTCATGCGTGCGCTTGCCCATTTCTCCTGCAGCCTGGTTTTGATTCAGGCTGTGGCCCGGTAGTGGGCTGTGGCCTGGCGATTGGGGACCCCTGTTCTAGTCCAACCCCCTTACTCAAGCAGGGGACCCTATACCAGGGGTCTTCAAACTTGGCCCTTTGATGACTTGTGGACTTCAACTCCCAAAATTCCTCAGCCAGCCTCCATTTTGTTTGTTAGATTTAAGACAGGGGTCTTCAAACTTGGCCCTTTCATGGCTGGTGGACTTCAACTCCCAGAATTCCTCAACCAGCCTTCATTTTGTTTGTTAGATTTAAGACAGGGGTCTTCAAACTTGGCCCTTTCATGGCTGGTGGACTTCAACTCCCAGAATTCTTCAGCCAGCCTCCATTTTGTTTGTTAGATTTAAGACAGGGGTCTTCACACTTGGCCCTTTTATGACTCGTGGACTTCAACTCCCAGAATTCCTGAGCCAGCATGGGGGAACTATGGCCCCCTAATGACTTGTGGACTTCAACTCCCAGAATTCCTCAGCCAGCATGACTCAGCTTGGAAACTTTCCCTTTCCCCTCAGCATGGCTGGCTCAGGAATTCTGGGAGTTGAAGTCCATGAGTCATAAAAGAGCCAAAGTTGCCTACCCTTGGATAAGCTCTCCTGCTTGAGCAGGGGACTGGACTAGAAGACCTCAAAGGTTCCTTCCAGGCTTGGATTCTATGAATTCAGGTCATTTATAGGGGAAAACGTGAGTCCAAGAGAAGCACCATTCAGGCTGAGCAAGAGTCTAGAACAGGGGTAGGCCACTTGGCTCTTTTATGAATCGTGTACTTCAACTCCCAGAATTCCTGAGCCAGCATGGGGGAACTATGGCCCCTTCATGACTCGTGGACTTCAACTCCCAGAATTCCTGAGCCAGCATGAGGTAAGTATGGCTCCTTCATGACTCGTGGACTTCAACTCCCAGAATTCCTCAGCCAGTGTGGGGAAACTATGGCCCCTTCATGACTCGCGGACTTCAACTCCCAGAATTCCTGAGCCAGCCTGGCTCAGCTTGGAAACCTCTCCCTTTCCCCTCAGCATGGCTGGCTCAGGAATTCTGGGAGTTGAAGTTCACGAGTCATAAAAGAGCCAAGCTTGCCTACCCCTGGTCCAAGGAGTCTCAGTGACTCGAAGATGGGTGGACTTCAACTCCCAGAATTCCCCAGCCAGCCTGCCTGCCAGCTACGGAGGTCTGTGCAGCCTCCCTCCCTGTGATTACCTGATACTGAACTCCAAGGACCTTTTTAACCCCCCCCCCCCCTCCCTCAGCCAGGGCATTGCCCCTTCCAAAGGGAGAGCCTGCCATTGTTGGGCCAAACCATGGCCAGCCTCACGTAGGAAATTTTTCAATTATGCCCGAGTTCTCATTGTGAACGTGCTCCTCTGCCACTGGAACAACACAGCTGGCAGCTTCTGTATCCAGAGGAAAAAGCTTATCACATTCCGGTGCTTGCTGACCTTCCCAGTTCAATCAGCGCTGCCACTCCGTTTCCCATCCAGATTCCACGTCCAGGCTCTCCTCTCTCCTTCTCCCAACCGCTGCCAGGCAATTAGAGTGGATTTATGAGCGTGGGGGGGGGGATCGGGTGCCAAGCCGCAAACGTGATTAAATATTTTTTAAGAGCTTTCCCATGAAGGCTCCGGGGTGAAGATGGAACTACGGGTGCTTTTCCAAAAACTTAGGCTCGGGATGATGGATCTTTTTTCTTTCTTTTTTTTTTTCTACCCCTTCCCCCCCCTTTTTTCAAATTTACTTATTTGCTTTCGGCTTTTTGGCAAGCCCAGTTGGCATAAAGGTGGCATAAACAGAGGATGACAGGGACAGCTAATGCCGTAGCAGGCAGAGGTGCCAGCAAAGCAATAATAGTGCTATTGATTATTCGTTTCCCTGTTTATTGAACTCTCCCCTTCAGGTGGTTTTTTGGTTTTTTTTGTTTTAGCCAGGCAACTTACTCTTGAGAAATAACCATTCCTATTAAACTTAAAGATGGAGGAAGAATAAGTAAAAGAAACAAGGATAATATGGGCAAAGAATTTTGGATATACTAGAGCAGGGCTTTTCAACCTTTTCACCCATTGCACCACTTTTAGGATATGGCAATATCTGAGGACCACCAGTCGCCTAGCAAGGTGTCAAAAACTTGATGACCAAAAAACAAAAAAAAAAAAAAGGAAAAAAGTGATAAAGTACAGGTAGTCCTCGACTTAACAACAGTTCACTTAGTGATTGTTTGAAGTTACAGCGGCACTGAAAAAAGTGCCCCCCAAGCCACAGCCGAGCAAGACACCTGCCTGCCCGCCTGGCGGTGCTCTTCCTCCTATCCGAGGTTTCCATTGTTGTGAGCATTTCTGTCGAGGATTGGCAGAGGGGGTGGGTTGAAGGGTGTTTGGTTTTTATTCTCCCCATCTGCTGGGTGGTTGCAGCAGGTTTTGGTCGCTTCACATGACCCTGGGACACTGTGACCGTCATAAATATGAATCAGTTGCCAAGCATCTGAATGTAAATCACAAGACCCTGGAGATGTTGCAACATTCCAGCTGATCGGCGCTTCTTCTGGGCTCAACAGAAGGGCCAGGATCAGTGCTGCTTTCCAGCTGATTGGTGCTTTTTCAGGGCTCAGCAGAAGCACCAGGATCGGCGCCGAGCTCCAGCTGGAGCCTGCCACTGATCCTGGTGCTTCCACTGAGCCCTGACAGCCCCGAAGAAGCTCTGATCAGCTGGAAAACAGCACTGATCCTGGGGCTTCTGCTGAGCCCTGACAGCCCTGCAGCTCCAGCCGTCTCTCGCTCAGGCTTGTGCGGTGCTGCCACTGGTTCAGCTCATTCCCCTCCCCTGCTACCACTTTTCTAGGATGCTCGCATCCCACCTGCCAGGTGCCAGTGTACCACAGGTGATACCCGTACCCCTGGTTGAAAAGCCCTTGTCTGTAGAATTAGAAGAGTGGCAAATATTATGGGAAAGAAATGTTAAATTAACTAAAGCCGTGCCATATAAAGGAAACGTACACAAAATGTTTTATAGGTGGCACACGACTCCAGTGAGACTAGCGTCTAAAATGTTTAAAAGTACTTCCAACAATTGTTGGAAATGCAAAGAAAAGGCCAGGTACTTATTACCACATCTGGTGGACAGGCCCTAAAGCGAAAAGGTATTGGGTTAAAACACATCTATGGTTGGAGAAGATGACTAAAACACAAATCGACTTCAAACCAGAACTGTTTTTGTTAGGAATAATAGGAGACAAGTACGAGAAGGATTGTAGACCTCTAATACTACATGCATTAATGGCAGCAAGAATTGTATTTGCCCAATATTGGAAAAATGAAAACTTACCAACGGAAGAAGTACTAATTAAGAAAAGTCTAGAGTGCGTGGGAGGCTTTTAAAGACAGCCCCTTGTCTGAAATGGTATAGGGTTTGTTGCTTGAGCAAGTGGGTTGGACTAGCTGACCTCCAAGGTCCCTTCCAGGTCTGTTATTCTTTTTCCTACCGCATGAAAGATCAAGTCAGCATACGCAGATCAATTAAACCTATGTATTGCTACTCGGGCCTATGCACAGGACTATTCTCAACTAAGCATTAGTATCTTTTGGAGTAGGAGATTAAAGTTAGATGAGGGTCAACAGAATTCACAGGGCGTTAGAACATAGTTTGCTGGTGGCTTCACAGAGATTCTAGGCTGGTTCCTCGCTTAACACCACCCTCCGTTTCTGTCACTCTGTTGTGATTCCGTGCCAGCCTGTGCTCTCAACAGCTGAATCTGAGGAATCTGAGGAGGAGGTGGAGGAGGCATCTGAAGGGCCATCAGGGGCAGATGGAGGCTCTGATGAATTACAGGACTCACGGTTTGATGCAGAGCCTGGGCCCTCCAGTCGTGTTCCTGATGAAGCTCAGCTGTGTGAGGAGAATGAGTCAGACTCAGAGGACTCACACCTGATGGACATGCTAATTGATGCACGCACACGTCGTCAATTAGCGAGAGTAAATCAGCAGCAGTCAATACAGCAACTTCAGAGTAAAAGGAGAAGGCACTGAGAGGCAACGCCTTGGGACTGCTGTATAAAAAGAGGAGGTGTGGGTGGTGCTGGTTGCTGAAGGCAACCGTTTGCAAAGTACTTTTTGGAATCCTGGTCTGTTCGTCTTGCTTGTGACTACTGTTTGCATCGCGTTTCCTGTGGACTATTTCCTTCCTTTGGATTGAGTTTTGCTGTTTGTGTTTTGGACTATTTGGCAGGTTTGTCACCTATATTAAAAGGGGTTTGTTTTGTTTTAAAGTCTCCAGCCTATTTTATCAACAGGGGTTTGGTCCTTGTGCCTTTAACATGGACAGCTATAGGCTGGGGTAGAACACACTCCTTCCCCTACACGTGCTGAGCAAAGTCAGGCCATGGTGGAGATGACTTCTTCTCGTTTAATCTAGTTTTGCTTCTGGCTTGGGAGATGATTCCTGCTCTTAGACTAACCAGGCGCTCACATTCAGATGTCCCTGTGCTTCTTCGCTTCCCAGGTGATCCCGATGCTTCCCCGGCTGCTGTGTGAAGAACTCTGCAGCCTTAATCCCATGACAGACAGACTCACCTTCTCCGTCATTTGGAAGCTGACTCCACAGGGCAAGGTAAGCCGCAAGCATATTCCACAGCTCTCGGTCCGCGGCTATAGTCTCCGCATCCTTCCGTGAAAAGTTGATTTTTTTTTTTTTTTAGATCTTCTTGAAATGTTTGCTGCCAGTTTTCCTTTGGCCTTGCAGAGAAGAGCCATACTACAAAACGCAAAAGGTGTTGAGATTCTAGAAAGAGTGCAGAGAAGAGCAACAAAGACGATTAGGGGACTGGAGGCTAAAACCTATGAAGAATGCTTACAGCAGACGTGTCAAACACAAGGCCCTGGGGCCGGATGCGGCCCGTGAAGTGGTTTCATGTGGCCCGCAAAACCATCCTGGAAACAGTGAGGGAACGGCCTCCACTGCCTTGGCCCTAGCCCAGGCCGGACGGGAGCCAATGTACAATTTTGTGGTGGCCATCTATGCTGAAACGCATTCAGTCTTAGCTCCACAAGGCTGTCTGGAAACAGTGAGGAACCAGCCCCTGCCGCGTCGGCCCTGCCCCCTGGGTGCATGCTGGGGAGGTGTTACCCTTTGTGTGGAATGAAGAAATGCACCATCGCCTGGAAGTGGCCAGCAAGTGGCCCTCACCTACTTCACATATCCGGCTTTGCCCTGCTCCCACCCCTTTCTGCCAAAGACCCTCAGATCTGTCCCACTCCTGCCCAGGCCCCCACAGGGACCCTTGACGCAAATGATATAGAGCTGGCCACGCCCACCCAGCAGGCCACACCCACTCCATCCACGCCCACCCAGTAGGCCGCACCCCCCAGCCCCTCCCTCCCCCCCCCAGGGCAACCGCAATGCTGATGCGGCCCTCAATGAAATTGAGTTTGACATCTGGCTTACAGGAACTGGGCATGGCTAGGCTAGTGAAGAGAAGGACCGGGGGGGGGGGGGAGACGTAATAGCAGTCTTCCAATATTTGAGGGGCCGTCACAAAGAGGAGGGGGTCAACTTATTTTCCAAAGCACCTGAAGGCCGGACAAGGAATAACGGATGGAAACTGATCCAGGAGAGGTTCAACTTGGAAATAAGGAGAAATTTTCTGACAGTGAGAACAATCAACCAACAGATTGCCTTCAGAAATTGTGGGAGTTTCATCACTGGAAACTTTCAAGGAGAGACTGAGACTGCCATCTGTCAGAAATGGTGTAGGGTCTCCTACTTGGGTGGTGGTGGGGGTTGGACTAGATGATCTCCAAGGTGCCTTCTAACTCTGTTATTCTATTCTATTCTATTCTATTCTATTCTATTCTATTCCATTCCATTCCATTCCATACTGTTCTATTTCCTATTCTATTCTGTTCTGTTCTGTTCCGTTCCATTCTGTTCTATTTCCTATTCTATTCTATTCTATTCTATTCTATTCTATTCTATTCCATTCCATTCCATTCCTTTTCTCTATTCTATTCTATTCTATTCTATTCTATTCTATTCTATTCTATTCTATTCCATTCCATTCCATTCCATTCCATTCCATTCCATTCCATTCCATTCCTTTTCTCTATTCTATTCTATTCTATTCTATTCTATTCTATTCTATTCTATTCTATTCTATTCTATTCTATTCTATTCTATTCTATTCTATTCTATTCTATTCTATTCTGCTCTTTAATTCTATTCTATTCTTTGCTAAATGACACTCAGTCCTGCGGAGCTCATGTCCAGCAAAGCGCATTCTTCGCTCTGTCACTATCTTACTATCTTCGGGATTTGCTTCTTGGTAGAATTTCCTCATTTGTGACATGGTCTCGATGTGCGATATGCAGAATCCTTCTGAGATAATGTTATTGAAAGACATTGATCTTACGAATAATTCTTGTTGTAGATTTCCAGGTCTCACTGGCCTAGATGGCAGTCAGTATGACAGTGATGTTAAATTGTCTTGGTAATTGAGCAGATGAAACCAAGAGAGACCAAGTCTGCAGGAATAACAGAATAACAGAGTTGGAAGGGACCTTGGAGGTCATCTAGTCCAACCCCCTGCTCAGGCAGGAAACCCTATACCATTTCAGACAAATGGCTGTCCAGTCTCTTCTTAAAAACTTCCAGTGTTAGTGCATTCACCGCTTCTTCCACTGGTTAATTGTTCTAACTGTCAAGAAATTTCTCCTTAGTTCCAGGTTGCTTCTCTCCTTGGTTAGTTTCCATCCGTTGTTTCTTGTTCTGCCTTCAGGGGCTTTGGAGAATAGCTTGACTCCCTCTTCTTTGGGGCAGCCTCTCAAATACTGGAAGACTGCTATCATGTCCCCCCTCGTCCTTCTCTTCATTAAACTAGAAATACCCAATTCTAGCAACCGTCCTTCATATATTTCAGCTTCCTATCCCCTGATCATCTCTGTTGCTCTTCTCCGCACTCTTTCTAGAAGAATAATTTTCTAGAGAAATAAGTAGCTGTGTCAGAAGAGACACTTGGCTCAAAGATGTCCTCGTACTTCACTGTTGGGAAGTCCAGTAGACCTATAGAGAGCCATCTCTTCCAAACCAACTGGTTTCTGCTCAGGGAGTGGACACATACTCCTTTGATGCTCTTTCTATAGAGATATTTGGAAAAAAACATATCCTCCCAATAATTGATAGATATCCTGGCCATTCTGACATTGCTTAACTCCAGTGGTTGCTTAAGGACGAACAGACTGTGATGATAACGCAGGTGGCTAGATACTGTGCAACAGCACTGGGGATTCGTCAGAAAGATGTGATTAATCCACCCTAGCAATTTTTCACAACTAATGTGGCACGTCCTTTTGCATTACTATTTTTTTGCACTTTAGTATTCAACGACTAACGTGCCCCATAGTTTAAGGACTGATATTATAGTTTAGTTTACTAGACCAGGGGTAGGCAACCTGGGCTCTTTTATGACTTGTGGACTTCAACTCCCAGAATTCCTGAGCCAGCATGGGGGAACTATGGCCCCCTTCATAACTCGTGGACTTCAACTCCCAGAATTCCTGAGCCAGCATGGGGGAACTATGGCCCCCTTCATGACTTGTGGACTTCAACTCCCAGAAGTCCTCAGCCAGCATGGGGAAACTATGGCCCCCTCATGATTTGTGGACTTCAACTCCCAGAATTCCTCAGCCAGCATGGGGGAACTATGGCCCCCTTCATAACTGGTGGACTTCAACTCCCAGAATTCTTCAGCCAGCATGGGGGAACTATGGCCCCTTCATGACTCGTGGACTTCAACTCCCAGAATTCCTGAGCCAGCATGGGGGAACTATGGCCCCTTCATGACTCGTGGACTTCAACTCCCAGAATTCCTCAGCCAGCATGGGGGAATTATGGCCCCTTCATGACTCGCGGACTTCAACTCCCAGAATTCCTGAGCCAGCATGGGGAAACTATGGCCCCTTCATGACTTGCGGACTTCAACTCCCAGAATTCCTCAGCCAGCATAGGGGAACTATGGCCCCTTCATGACTCGTGGACTTCAATTCCCAGAATTCCTCAGCCAGCATGGGGGAACTATGGCCCCTTCATGATTTGTGGACTTCAACTCCCAGAATTCCTGAGCCAGCCTGGCTCAGCTTGGAAACCTCTCCCTTTCCCCTCAGCGTGGCTCGCTCAGGAATTCTGGGAGTTGAAGTCCACCAGTCATAAAAGAGCCCAGGTTGCCTACTCCTGAGTTAGGCCACGTGTAACGGACAAACTCGATGCCACTTTGTGATTTTAATATGGATTTTAATCTGTTACTTATTTTTTTGTTCTAGAATTTTTAACTGGATATTGATTGAGTGTTTTTATTTGTTCTGGTCTCTGGTCTTTGACTATAATAAACTTGAAATGGATTCTGAATGAGATACTTCCATCCAAACCCAGAGGTTATCCCCTCAAGCTGAAGGGCAGGAAGGCAAGGTGCTTCTTCCCCTCCTTGTCCCTTCTCAGCAACAAATCTTCAATGGGAGATGATCTCCAATTTTGTAAGATTCACAATTAGCAGAGGTGCGTCTTCAGTGCACGGAAGGAGAAGCGTTGCAATCCCTCTGAATCACATTCCTTTCCAGTGTTTCTCAACCTTGACAATTTTAAGGCCTGTGGACTTCAACTCCCAGAATTCCACAGCCAGCATTGCTGGCTGTGGAATTCTGGGAGTTGAAGTCCACAGGCCTTAAAATTGTCAAGGTTGAGAAACCCTGCGTCTAATCAACATCCTTGGGGGTGTTTTCCCTCCCTCTCTCCATCGTGACTGGTCCTCCAGATTACCTGACTTGAACTCAGTCCTCTGCCGAGGTCAGGTTGAGGTGGAAACGCTTTGCACAATGCTTTTGATGACGTTTTCCCTTGTCCTCGGTGCTGGGAAGCAGCTGTTTCTCAAAAAATGCACATTATGGCCAGGACTGCGCTTGTGACTGTTAACACATTCCTAACACTGGTAGACTTCGTTTATGTACATTGCAGCAGCCTTTAACGCTTCTAACAGCCTGAGACATTATCTGCTGGGTTGCAGTCATCTGGGCAAGATTGACGGGAGCCTTGGGTTAACAACTGTGTTTCCGACAACCAGGAATGAGACAGATGAAGAGGAGAGAGAGGGGTGGGGGCGTTTTCATGCGCCATCATGCCTTAAGGACACAGGTCTTCCTTTGTGAAGCTCTCCTAGGGCTGCACAGCTTTTGTGCTCCTCCATCATGGGAGCTTTTTAAAAAGAGGCTATACAGTCACTTGTCTGAGATGGTATAGATTCTCCTGCTCGAGCAGGGGGCTGGACTAGAAGACCTCCAAGGTCCCTTCCAGATTCTATTCTATTCTATTCTATTCTATTCTATTCTATTCTATTCTATTCTATTCTATTCTATTCTATTCTATTCTATTCTATCCTATCCTATCCTATTCTCCATTGCATCTACTGTACTCTACTCTACTCTATTCTATTCTATTCTCCATTGCATCTACTCTACTCTACTCTACTCTACTCTACTCTACTCTACTTTACTCTACTCTACTCTACTCTACTCTATTCTATTCTATCCTATCCTATCCTATCCTATTCTTCATTGCATCTGTTCTATACTCTATTCTACTCTATACTCTACTCTACTCTACTCTACTCTATTCTATCCTATTCTCCATTGCATCTATTCTATACTCTACTCTGCTCTGCACTACTCTACTCTACTCTACTCTATCCTATTCTCCATTGCATCTATTCTATACTCTATTCTACTCTATACTCTACTCTACTCTATTCTATCCTATTCTCCATTGCATCTATTCTATACTCTGCTCTGCTCTGCACTACTCTACTCTACTCTACCCTATCCTATTCTCCATTGCATCTGTTCTATACTCTATTCTACTCTATACTCTACTCTACTCTATTCTATCCTATTCTCCATTGCATCTATTCTATACTCTGCTCTGCTCTGCTCTGCACTACTCTACTCTACTCTACTCTACTCTACTCTACTCTACTCTACTCTACTCTACTCTACTCTACTCTACTCTACCCTATCCTATTCTCCATTGCATCTGTTTTATACTCTATTCTACTCTATACTCTACTCTATTCTACTCTATTCTATCCTATTCTCCATTGCATCTATTCTATACTCTACTCTACTCTGCTCTGCACTACTCTACTCTACTCTACTCTACTCTACTCTACTCTACTCTACTCTACTCTACCGTATCCTATTCTCCATTGCATCTGTTCTATACTCTATTCTACTCTATACTCTACTCTACTCTACTCTACTGTACTCTACTCTCAATTGCATCTATTCTATACTCTATTCTACTCTACTCTACTCTACTCCAGTCTCTTCTCTTCTCTTCTCTTCTCTTCTCTTCTCTTCTCTTCTCTTCTCTTCTCTTCTAATTCTCTTCTCTTCTCTTCTCTTCTCTTCTCTTCTATTCTATTCTATTCTATTCTATTCAGATTGTTCGGAGGAATTGTGCAAAGTGCAATCAAAAATCCATTGCTGGCGTATCTCTGATGAGTAGAGACCCCTTGGTCTCAAGTTGGCAACGGAAGGAACTACAGGTAGTCCTCGACTTACGATGACAATGGAGCCCCAAATTTATGTCATTAAGTGAGACACTTGTTAAGGGAGTTTTGCCCCCTTTTACGACTTTTCTCGTCACAGTCCTTAAGTGAACCACTGCAGTTGTTAAGCCAGTAACCTGGCTGTTAAGTGAACCCGGCTTCCCCCATTGGCTTTGCTTGTTGGAAGGTCGCCAAAGGGAATCAGACGACCGCTGGGGACACTGCAATTGTCATAAATATGAGTCAGTGGCCAAGCGGCTGGATTTTGATCCTGTGACCGTGGGGATGCTGCGACGGGCGTTAAGTGGGAAAAGCGGTCCTAACTCTGTTTTTCCAGTGCCGTTGTAACTTTGAAAGGTCACCCAATGGATGGTTGTAAGTCAAGGACTACCTGTACTAACTTAACAACTGTAGTGATTCACTTAACAACGGTGACGTGTTTCTCCTTGATGTTCTTTCTCAACTTGACGTTCCAGATCCTCGAGGAATGGTTTGGACGGACCGTGATTCAGTCCTGCGTGAAGCTCAGCTATGATCACGCTCAGAGCATGATTGAGGATCCAGGACGGGTGTTTGGGGCGGAGGAGTTGCCCCCCGTCTCCCCCCGCCACACCGTGGCTGAGGTGCACCAAGCCGTCCTCAGCCTCCACGAGATTGCCAGGCAGCTGCGTCAACAGCGCTTCACGGACGGGGCTCTCCGCTTGGATCAGGTTAGCTGAACCCGATCGAGTAGCGGTACAAGGATTGTTGCTTAATTAAGGTTCAGTTAAGAAAATTCACATTTATGGAATTCTGGAAAATCACACCTGGAGAAAATAAATATGGGCTACATCTGTGGTGAGATTCAACCAGTTCGCACCAGTTCGGCAGAACTGGTAGTTAAATTTTGTTGACTTCAGAGAACCGGCTGAATGTACACTGCTCCCGGAAGTCTGTTCTAGGCCTTGGAGGCCAGGAGGAGGCCTCCCAGACCTAGACCGGCTCGTCAGAAGTGCATGGATGCCACTTCCGGAAGTCCATTCTAGGCCTCAGAGGCCAGAAGGAGGCCTCCAGGCCTAGAATGGCTCGCCGGAAGTGCATGGATGCCACTTCCGGAAGTCTGTTCTAGGCCTCGGAAGCCAGGAGGAGGCCTCCCAGGCCTAGAACGGCTCGCCGGAAGTGCATGGATGCCACTTCCAGAAGTCTGTTCTAGGCCTCGGAAGCCAGGAGGAGGCCTCCCAGACTTAGACCGGCTCACCGGAAGTGCACGGATGCCACTTCTGGAAGTCCGTTCTAGGTCTTGGAGGCCAGGAGGAGGCCTCCCAGACCTAGACCGGCTTGCCGGAAGTGCATGGATGCCACTTCTGGAAGTCCGTTCTAGGCCTCAGAGGCCAGAAGGAGGCCTCCCAGGCCTAGACTGGCTCGTCAGAAGTGCATGGATGCCACTTCCGGAAGTCTGTTCTAGGCCTCGGAAGCCAGGAGGAGGCCTCCCAGGCCTAGAACGGCTCGCCGGAAGTGCATGGATGCCACTTCCAGAAGTCTGTTCTAGGTCTCGGAGGCCTGGAGGAGGCCTCCCAGACCTAGAATGGCTTGCCGGAAGTGCATGGATGCTACTTCCGGAAGTCCGTTCTAGGCCTCAGAGGCCCAAGCCTGCATCCATGCAGAGAACTGGTTGTTCAGGTATTTGAAACCCACCACTGGGCTACATACTTTTGAAGACACCACGGGTAGTGTTCACTGTTGGACTATGTGTTTCTCAACCTTGGGCACTTTAAGACAGGTGGACTTCAACTCCCAGAATTCCCCAGCCAGCTATGCCATGCTCTGGAATTCTGGGAGTTGAAGTCCACCTGTCTTAAAGTGGTCAAGTGTTATGGTTCCGGCTAATGAAACACTTCAAAGAACTTCCAGGCATATTTTCCTAAAAGTCATTTATTGTTACAAAATGTCGGCACAGGCATAACGGAAGTATGCCAAGATCTAAATTCTCTTCCCCTGAGCAATTAAATTATCAGCATGTTCCCTCCCTAAATTAGCTGTCATATATCACCTTATCCAATTAGTGTGAAGGTCAAAGGTTTCCTTCCTCTCTCTTTCCCGGGCTTTTCCCTCGACCCTCTTCTGCTCTGCATTAACTCTAAAAATACTAGACATTTCTGCATATTGTCAAAGCAAGAATATACAGTATTTGCAGCGTTGACATCAAGATTGAGAAACACTGAATTAGTCTAAGGGGACTTAAACATGGCATTAAGAGGTTCCAGTATATTTACTACCAAAGCTCAGAATAGCAGAATAAGAGTTGGAAGGGATCTTAGAGGTCTTCTAGTCGAACCCTCTGCTCAAGCAGGAGAACCTATGTCATTTCAGACAAATGGGTGTCGAATCTTTTCTTAAAAACCTCCAGTGTTGGAGCACCCACAATGTCCATTATCATAAACTAACAGAATAGCAGAGTTGGAAGGGACCTTGGAGGTCTACTAGTCCAGCCCCCTGCTTAAGCAGGAAACCCTATATACTTTTTCAGACAAAGGGCTGTCCAGTCTCTCTTTGAAAACCTCCAGTGTTGGAGCATTCAGAGCTTCTGGAGGCAGGTTGTTCCACTGGTTAATTGTTCTCACTGTCAGGAAATTTCTCCTTAGTTCTGGATTGGTTTTCTCCTTGATTAGTTTCCATCCATTGCTTAATCAAAGCCACTTCCCACTTAAGTTTAAAACCCCAAAATGGTATCACAGCATATTTGAAAAGGCATCTAATTTTCTTGATCGTGTGAGTGCTGGTTTAAGAAGAGGGCACAGAGAAGGACTGGAAGGGGTCTTTGGGATGGGAGAAAATGGTGATCAGTGCTGGGAGGAGGAGGAGGAGGAGGAGGAGGAGGAGGAGGAGGAGGAGGAGGAGGAGGAGGAGGTGATTGACGACCGTGGGGCCTTTGGTGCTCTCTGAGCTGGGTTGTTTTCTGGCAGACGTTTCATTACCCAACTAGACAACATTATCAGTGCTGGGAGGAGGAGGAATGCAAAGTAGCAAAAGGACAGCTTGAGAGCAGAGTCCAGCGCTACTGGCATGCTTAGCTGAGGAATTCTGGGAGTTGAAGTCCACCAGTCATAAAAGGGCCAAGTTTGAAGACTCCCGTCTTAAATCTAACAAACAAAATGGAGGCTGGCTGAGGAATTCTGGGAACTGAAGTCCACAAGTCATCAAAGGGCCACGTTTGAAGGCCCCCGTCTTAAATCTAACAAACAAAATGGAGGCTGGCTGAGGAATTCTGGGAGTTGAAGTCCACAAGTCATCAAAGGGCCAAGTTTGAAGACCCCCGTCTTAAATCTAACAAACAAAATGGAGGCTGGCTGAGGAATTCTGGGAGTTGCAGTCCACAAGTCATCAAAGGGCCAAGTTTGAAGGCCCCCGTCTTAAATCTAACAAACAAAATGGAGGCTGGCTGAGGAATTCTGGGAGTTGCAGTCCACAAGTCATCAAAGGGCCAAGTTGGAAGACCCTTGACTTAACAACTACCTTGCGCAGGAACAGAAATCTGGGGTTCAATTGTGGTCGTAAGTCGAGGGCTCCCTGTACTACAAGGGTCTCAAGGAAGCCCTAGTTTGGTCAGCAGGCAGCCACTACCTCGCTTAGCCACAGAAATTGTGGCCGTTAAGTCAAGGATTGCCTGTGCTGCTAACTTTCTCCGGGATAATGGATAAATCTGATTTATGCAGAAGGAAGGGCCTGCTTTTTGAGGAAGGGCATTAGCCGGAAAACCTTCTCCACTTGCCTCAAGCATCGAAGACGTTGGGGTGGGAAAACCGCCCCAATGCCAAACTTCAATTTCTTCTCTTTTGTGTACTGTCTTCATTCCAACCTTGGGTTAGTCCCGGATGGTTTTTTTTTGGGGGGGGGGGGCTCCTGGGATTTGATGGATGAAATCCCTGCAAAGCCGGCTGGCCGTGTGAAAACGGAGGCCGCTTGAAAAGAGAGCAATCCGTCAGATTGGCAAGCAGAGCTAACTGGGGTAATTAATCTTTATGGATGTGTTTTTTGTTATTGTTGTGACGAGGTGGGTAAGCGTCTTGTTGAGGTCTTGTTGAGGCCACCGATCCAATTTCGCTGCCTGGGAACTCTCCGTTCTCCATTTTTCATCTTGCAAGGAAGCGGTTCCTGCGGTTTTAGAGTAGAATAGAGCTGGAAGGGACCTTGGAGGTCTTCTAGTCCACCCTCCATTTCAGACAAGTGGCTGTCCAGTCTCTTCTTAAAAACCTCCAGTGAGCGCCTACGATTTCTGGTGGCAAGCTGTTCCACTGGTTAATTGTCCTCACTGTCTGGAAGTTTCTCCTTAATTCCAGGTTGCTTCTCTCCTTGATTAGTTTTTCCATCCGTTGTTTCTTGTCTTGCCTTCTGGTGCTTTGGAAAAGAAGTTGACCCCCTCCTCTTTGTGGGAGCCCCTCAAATGCTGGAAGACTGCTGTCATGTCACCCTCCCCATTCCTTCTTTTCATTAAACTAGACATACCCAATTCCTGCAAGCCTTCTTCATATGTTTTCGTCTCCGGGCCTTTGATCGTCTTCGTTTCTCTTCTCTGCACTTTTTCCAAAGTCTCAACCTCTTTTTCAGTGGTTCTCAACCTGTGGGTCGGGACCCCATTTGGGGTCAAACGACCATTTCACGGGGGTCGCCAAACAACGCAGTCCACCATTTTTTTCCCCCTTTTCCTTAGCTGTGCTACTCCTTTTTATTCTATTGGCTTTTGAAAGCCAATAGAAGAGACTCTCTTGAATAGAGTCTAATTCTATTGACTTTCCAAAGCCAATAGGAATTGTCCAGGCTGTCTCTGCCCTGCTGAGCCCGCCAAAAGTCCCATTCTGCAAACGGTGCTGCACCAGTTGAGTAGTCCTCGACTTACAACCGGTTGAGTAGTCCTCGACTTACAACCGGTTGGGGGTCGCGGCATTAAAAAGGTTGAGAACCACTGCTCTTTTTGGTAACGTGGGGACCAAAACTCGATGCAGTATTCCAGGTGTGGCCTTACTAAGGCTTTATAAAGCGGTACGAATGCTCCCATGCTTGTGTGAAAAAGAGGCAGTTACTGAGAGACTATCCTGGCGAAATAATGGCCATCGGATAACCAACCGTTGGAAAGGACCGAGCATCTGAAGTCATATATTTACCATGGCAGCTTGCGGTCCTTGCAAACTGCCAGTAAAAATATTTACTTCCAAGCCGATGCCTCAGCCAAGCCTCTGAAGGGCTCAAGACCTTTTAGTGAGGTGGATTAAATAAGAGATGTGAGTGGTTGTGTGTCCCCATCGGCAGTGACAGCACTGCAAAGCAGAGGGATCGGAAGGTGTCCTTAAAACCACCGACAAAAGCCCAACGAAAGCTGCGAGCCGTCAAGACAAAATACATACACATTTAATGCCTCTTAATGACATCTTATTCCTTTCCCCCAATATTCTCAAAGCATGAAAACAAGGGCTTGCAAACTTCTAGAATAAGCTGGCAGGAGTAGTCGACACCCCAGAAGACAAGCTCAGCATCCAAAAGGAGGAGGTGATTGACGAGTGTGCGGTCCTTGGTGCTCTCCGAGCTGGGTTGTTTTCTAGCAGACGTTTTATTACCCAGCTAGGCAACATTATCAGTGCTGAGAGGAGGAGGAGGAAGAGGAGGAAGAGGAGGAGGTGATTGATGAGTGTGGGGTCCTTGGCGCTCTCCAAGCTGGGTTGTTTTCTAGCAGACGTTT